GAGAGAGAGAGAGAGAGAGAGAGAGAGAGAGAACGTGCAAGCTCATGGACAATACCCAGGCCCTGAGTTTAAACCCTAGGACTGGCAGAAAGAGAGAAAGAAAGAAAAAGGAAGAAAAGAAAGAAAAGGGAGGGAGGAAAAAGGAGGAAGAAAGGAAGGAAGGAAGGGAGGGAGGGAGGGAGGGAGGGAAGGAGAGGAGGGAGGGAAGGAGAGGAGGGAGGGAAGGAGAGGAGGGAGGGAAGGAAGGAGTAAGGAGGACTGACAGGGAGAAAGAAGGGGAGCAAGAAGAGGAGAAAGGGAAGAGCAAAGAAGGAAGGGAAGGGGGGAAAGGGAATATATAAATGTGTATGCAGTGCTTACGCATATGTATATACGCATATGTATATATACGCATACGTATATCTATCTATCTACATGTTTACCTAGCAGAAGCCCCCAACTGTGCTGGACACAGACCCACACGTATGGATATCTGCTGCAGGCGAGGCAGTGTGACTTACAGGTCCTCCGAAAGGAAAAGATGAGCAGGCACTGGTGGCTCACGCCTGTCATCCTAGCTACTCAGGAGGCTGAGATCTGAGGATGGAGGTTCAAAGCCAGCCCACGCAGGAAAGTCCATGAGACTCTCATCTCCAATAAACCACTTAGAAAACCGGAAGTGGCGCTGTGGCTCAAGGGGTAGAGCGCTCGCCTTGAGCTGGAGGGCTGAGGGACAGCGCCCAGGCCACAGGACCATGGGATAGGCATGTTAGGCAAGCACTCCCGAGTTCTACTTCTGGCCTGACAAACTAACTGGTCAGTCATGGGGCTTCAACTCAGGGCTGGGCACTGTCCCTTAGCCTCTGTGTGCTGAAGTTGAGCGCTCTTCCACTTAAGAGCCACAGCACCACTTCTGGTTTTCTGCTGGTTAATTGGAGATAAGAGTCTCATGGACTTTCCTGTCTAGGCTGGCTGTGAACCACAATTCTAGATCTCAGCCTCCTGAGTAACTAGGATTACAGGCGTGAGCCACCAGTGCCAGACAACAAACTAGCTTTCTACTGGTATGTGGACAGGAGAACAAAGGCTGTTCACAGACATCCCAAGGTGTTAAGATGCAGAGATGCCAGTGGACAAAGGACCCACAGTTGCAGGACTGAGAAGCCAAAGCCCCGGCCCCCCCTCACCCCCCCCCCCACCCCACCCCCACCCCCACCCCCACCCCGCTTCTTTTAATGTACGGACTCAGGTCCTACTGCTCTCAACTTTTTCTGCTCAATCCTTGTGCTGTCACTTGAGCCACATTTCTAGTTCCAGCTTTTTGCTGGTTAACTGGAGCAAAGTCTTCTGGATTTGTCTACATGGGCTGATTTTGAATCTTAATCTTCAGACTTCAGCCACCTGAGTGGCTAGGATTATAGGCATGAGCTACAAGTGCCCAACTCCAAAGATCGGTTGTGGGACTTGAACTCTGGGCCTGGGCGCTGTCCCTGGGCTCTTCAGCTCAAGGCAAGTGCTCTACCATGTGAGCCACAGTGCCACTTTGATTTTCTAGTGATTAATTGGAGATAAGAG